TAGCATCCAGCAAAGGTATATTGATTCTTACCTGTTTGACAATTTCAAAAATATCAGAGTTGTGATTAACTTTTCTTTGTTTGCTCATGGTTTGCGGAAATGGAAGTGCTGGCGGTGAATCAGTCGTTTCTTTGTAATTTTCAGATTCAACCCCTTCCTTACCCTTAGAGTAGTGACTGATTTGACTTGATCCATGTGTTGGCTTCCGGAACTACTTGCATTTGCATTGTATTGCCCCTTAGGATTTTGTTGTGGTTGAGATGGAAACTTACCTTTCTCTTGGAAACTGAGAGCAGATGTTAATTTTGCAAGAGTATCTTTAAAATCTGTCATGTTTTGAGCAAGTTGAGTATTAATTGTCTCTTGCTTTTCAATGAATGCATGCAATGTTTCCTCAAGATTTCTTCTTAGAGGTGGAGCATAAGGAGGTGCATATCCATGAGAATTTTGGAAATTATGGTGTGCTTGAAATGGTGGTTGTGAAGTTTGTGCATTGTTGTTTTCACTCTTCCAACTGAAATTTGGGTGATTTCTCCAACCAGGGTTGTATGTTTAGAAGTATGGGTTGTGGTTGGCTCTTTGGAAACTGTTTAAAGTATGGGCTTGTTCATGGAGACATTCCTTAAAAGAAGGCAAGGTTGGATAATCATTGGTTGAGTGTTCATTTGTTTCACAGATTTGACACACAATGTTTTCAATAGATTTTAATTGACCACTCTTTTTCAATTCTAGTACCTCGACTTTTCTAGCTAAAGATGCAAACTTGGCTTGAAGGTCATGATCATCCCTAAGGTTGTACATACCTCCACTAGATGTCTGAGGTTGAGTTTTACTCAGTGCCTTATAAATACCCGTGGTGTCCCAATTTTGAGCATTTTCAGCTAACAAGTCTAAGTACTCCATTGCTTCATCAGGGTCTTTATCTTAAAAAGTTCCATTGCACATCAATTCAACCATTTGCCTATCTTTAGGTGTTAACCCCTCATAGAAATGTGAAATTAATCTCCATGTTTCAAAACCATGATGAGGGCAAGTACTAAGCAAGTCTCGATACCTATCCCAACATTGGTAAAATGTTTCTCCTGGTTTTTGAGTGAAAGTGGTGATTTGTCTTTTGAAAGAGTTTGTTATGTGAGATGGGAAAAACTTCTTTAAAAATTGTTGTTGCATTTCATCCCAAGCACGAATGGATCCTGATATTAAATTTTGTAGCCATGTTTTAGCTTTATCTTTTAATGAAAAAGGAAAAAGCTTTAATCTGATGGTGTTCATGCTACAATTTAAATTATTATATGTGTTGCAGACCTCCTCAAATTCCCTTAAATGCAAGTATGAATTTTCCAATTCCATGCCATGAAATGAAGGTAAAAGTTGAATAATATCTGGTTTAAAATTAAAATGAGATGCATCAGGAGCAAAAACTATGCATGATGGTGCACTTGTTCTTGTGGGATTCATGTGGTCTCTAAGTGTTCTAGCACGGTTATTCTCATTATTGTCATTTTGAAGTGATTGATTATCTTCTTCGGCTATATTTTCTGAAAATGATGAGGATACCCTACAAAGCCTACCACTTGATGTACATGACCACACTCTCATGCACGTGTAGGAATAGAATAAAAGAAAAAAGAAAACAAAAGAAGAAGAAACAAGGGAAAAAAAACAAAGTTATATACAAGAAAAGTGAAAAGAGACAATAAAATAAATATTATAATTTATACAAAACTTACCTCCCTGGCAACGGCGCCAAAAACTTGACACAACTAAAAGGTTGATGTCTTCTCCCAAGTGCAGGAGTGTCGAAGTAATAAATAACCCGACAAGACTGGGGTCAAACCATAGGGAGGTTAATTGTACAAATTATAAACAACAATAATAACAACAACAATAGTAATAATAATAATAATAATGATAATAATAATAATAATAATAATAATAATAATAATAATAATAATAATTGATGATGATGATGATGATGATGATGATGATGATGATGATGATGATGATGATGATGATGAAGAAGAAGAAGATGATGATGAGAACTTTGAGATGAAATATTAATGTAACAATTAAACAATGATAATAACAAATGTCAAGGTTAAAGGTTCCACTAATGGTATGTCAAACAAGTATAGTATAAACTTTTGTTATTCAATTGGAAACCACACATAAAGGAGGTTCCAATCAGATTATAGATTGTTAACATGATTACATTAGTCATCTTATTTAATTAATGCTAATACTTGTAAATTTCGTCAAGCATTCATGATTATAACTTATGTTAACAACAAATCATTTTCCTTTCATAGTTCAGGTGTTGGTTATACCATACAGTATGAACCATGAAAGTGCCAAGCATTTGTTGTACCAAGTGTTATACAACATAAATCAAGATTCGTTATTTAACAAGCAAAGTATTAAAGAGTGAACAAGATAACAAATATAAAACATGTTAGTATCAAACATTAAAGTCCATATTAAGTTTACATTATACTTATTCTTACACCATTAGTGTAACCTTTTCACCTTGACATAATTAACTTAGCTAGACATAATGAAACAAAGAAAAATAGATAAACAAAATAAGAACATAAAAGTTAACTAAGTAAAGGAAAGGAAATGAAAGGCATAAACTTGATATTAATGAAAGTAAAGCATAAACATTACAAAAATACAAAGAGAGAAAGCAAGAGCATGATCTTGATCTGGACACCAAGATGCCTAAATGCATGGCAAATGCCTTCTTTTATAGGCCAAAATTGGGAACTATTGATTTGATACTAATTGATAAGTGGGTGGCCAACTCTTGACTTAGTGACAATCCTTATCTTCTCTTGTCTGCCCAAAACATCATTGATAACGTCACAATTGGAGCCAGTCGACATGAAAGTTGTAGGCAATTGTGTCAGCTTTCTTGTGTAGAAAATTTAGTTCATTTGGACTTCTAGAACTCCAGATATGGCCAAAATACCAAACAGTGCTTGAGCTGGAAGACAGATTCTAACTTCTTTGTTATTGCTACCATTTGGACTTAAAAATGATCTTTTTAGATCTTGGGCTCCATATGAAAGTTGTAGGTCTATGTCTTACCTTTCCATCCATATAAATTGGACCTAAAGCTGAGATCTATAGCTCCAGATATGACCCAATTACTGAACAGTATTCCGGTTTGGATTGCACCGACATCTCTTTTCTAAGTTTGGCCATCTCTTTATCCTTGCAATTTAAGTTTTTCAAATCATTAATCAATCTTTTGATTTATGTGATAGGCCTGCATTTAAAATGAACATTTACCACAAATTAAAAGTATCTTATATTATTAGATATATTATTAGAAAACATATTTTAGTTAAGGAGTTATTGATACTTCAAGTACAAAATGATAATATAAAACCATAATAAAATAATCACCCTCAAAGAGCTATCAAAAGAAATTCACCCTAGCCATGTTCTGCTTGCATTATGCTGCTGCTTATTATGCCATCAAGTCACTTATATAGAAACACCAGAGAATATTCATTCGAGCATGCAGGAGATATTATAGGATTTCTATGATTTGTTCGCAAAGCCCTCGAGCTTCGCACCAAAACGGGAGATTAATTATGGTATTTCCCTTAAGGAAGGAACCAAGCCTATTAATGTTCAACTTATAAGTACTTATATTATAAAAATAATAATAAAAAAAAGAGATCGAGAAATAAGTCCAAGATATATTGAGATCAAAGTTTGTTCGACCTAGCAATAGCCCTATCTCGGATTGGTGTTTTTGCAATCAAGTCACTTATATTGCTAGTAAAGAAGAAAAACTAGGATTGGTGTTTTTGCATAGGTTATCTCGTGCTCAACGCTATAACCATTAAGGACCAATTTTTTATTCTTACAGTTGATGATATATTGGATGAGCTCTATGGTGATTCTTATTTTACCAAGCTAGATCTGAGGGCAAAGTTTCATTAGATAGACTTTTGAGATATTGAGATAGCACTAATTCTTTGTCAAAGCTAGCAAATCTGTATTTGGGCAACAAGAATTAGAGTGCTGGGGGGCATATTGTCACTTGCCAAGGCATGAAATTAAGTTGACGAAATTAAAATTGTTGTTATTGTAGCTTGGCCTCGGCCTTCTTACATTTCAAAACCACATGGTTTTTTAAGTTTGATAGGATATTACAAGTTCATCTAGAATTATGACATTATAGCTCGACCAATCAACAAGGAAGCTGAAGCCGCCTTCCTTGCTCTCAAGCAAGCCATGACTCCCACTCCTACATTACCCATTCTGAATTCCAACAAGGCCTTCACTGTCAAAACATATGCATCCGGGAATGGTATTGGAGCAATGTTGTCTCAACAAGGCAAACCAGTGCCTTACATGAGTCAAGCCCTTGGAGTGACCAAGAAATCTTTGTCGACATATGCTAAGGAGATGTTAGCTATTTTGGAGACCATACACATGTGGCAGCCTTACCTTCTAGGACAGAAATTCTATATTCAAACCAATCAACGTGGTCTCAAGTAATTTCTAGAACAACGAATAGCAACTCCAGAGCAACAAAAATGAATTGTTAAGCTATTGGGCTATGATTACAAAATTACCTATCGACCTGACCGTGGAAACTCTGCAGTTGATGCTCTCTCATGAAAGCAAGGTAGTCTAATTGTTTACTATATTTTCATTTCGTTGGTTAGTTTATGGGAAGAAATTAAAAAAATTGGTTTATAAATTATCTATTGACCAATACATTCAGGCAATGGGTCGTGTGGCCACAGAACAACTGGGGATCATATATACGGGGTCAAGGGCTACTACTATACAAAGGAAAGGTCATTGTTCTAGATAAGGCATCCTAAAAGGCTAAGCTATTACACGAAATGTATGACACCAAGGTGAGGGGTCATTCAGGCATCCTACGTACATTTAAGAATTTATACATCAATTTTATTGGCCTAGGATGCATAAATCAGTGCAGGATTATGTCGAAGGGTGTGAGGTATGCTAAAAGATAAAAGCCGATACATTGACTGTAGCTGGGCTTCTTCAACCACTATTGATCTCGTGTCAAGTATAGGACGACATCACCCTAGATTTTATTAAGGAATTACCGGTTTCATAGGGAAATAACACCATCATGGTGGTTATCAACAGGCTCAGTAAGTCCACTCATTTTCTCACTTTAAGTCATCCTTTTACTACAAAACCTGTGGCAGAAAAAATTGTGGAAGGCATCATCAAGCTTCACGGAATGCCAAATCCATTATTAGTGATCGGGACCCCATCTTCATCAGTCACTTCTGGCAAGAATGTTTTAAGATGTTGGGCACCAAACTACAGCTCAGTTCTGCATACCATCCGCAGACGGATAGTTAAATGGAAGTCATCGATTGCTACGTCGAGCAGTGTCTTTGGTGTTTTGTTCATCAATAGCCACGAAAATGGTGCTGCTACTTGAGCTGAGTATTGGTATCATACAACATATCACATTTCAACAGGGAAGACCCCTTTTCAGACACTATATGGACGATTACTACCCTCCATTCTAATGTACATTGAAGGAATTTCATCGGTACACAAAGTTGACCTGCAGCTCATGAGTCAAGATGAACTGCTCTGGCAATTAAAGACCAACTTAGAGAGATCAGTATTTAGATGATATCACCCAATGATTGTAGCAACCAGATGATTTTCTATGACAAGATGAAGCAACAAACGAAGTATAAATAGAAACTAGATTGCTACAAGGCACAAGCTTCTCGACAAGAAGAAATAACCAAGAACCCTAGAAATATTCTTCATCATGTGGAAGAGATAACAACAGCGACCCAAGCAATTACAGGAGTAATCAACAGAATGAGACCGCTGTCTTATTGATCCACAGATATCACTTGATTCCTCTTTTCTACTTCTGTTTGGGTTGAGTCTTTCACTTTTGGTTGAAACACGGCTTTCCGTCAATTAAAACAGAGAACACTGGTTCAATGAATTTAACAGTTTTAATGCTCTCAGATGTTGTTGCTTGGACTGTTTCCTTTGATTCTTATTCTAATTAGGTTCAAGCTTCGTCAACATGTTACAGTGGTTACTATAAGCAATCACTTGGAATGATTTTGGAGGTGAGCAGGTGTATGTAGGGTAACTGCTCGACAAAATGTCCCAGCTAAACACCTCGCTCCATCCCCCCCAACGCACCACCTACACGGCTCCTCCAAAATCCGCAGACCACCATGCTAAACACCTTTCTCAAAACAACATAACAACCTCACCTTCTCAAAAATTCTCGGACACAAACATTCCCATACCTGTTCCATCCTCTGCACCTACCTGCAAAACCCCTGTCCCTGCACCCTGTGCCTCCATTACCAATGATGCAGTACATGTTAAGCTGTTCTTTGAGAGATTTCCTTCATGGGTGGAATATCGGTTATCAAACTTTTTGTATCCAAGCGAAAAATTGTTCTTGGAAGACGATTTGGTTTTGTGGACATTTCATCCTCCTTATCTGTCTCAACTCTCTATGATCAAGCCAGCCAGATTTGGTTTGATACGTATAAATTAATAGTGAACCCACCTAAACATCACTCCCTTAAAACTTCCCCTTCACCACCAAAACAAGTACCCAAGCCTGCAACACCATACCACCCCCAACTTTCTTTGATAGATCATCGATCTTTTGCTAAGGTACTCACATACACAAAACCTCAAATAGCCACTACAAGAAGAAGAATGGTGCAATACGAATCCACAGAGGAAGATAAGGAATGGTTATATAGGAGCTTGGTAGGAAATATTCTGCTAAATGTTGACGTTGCAACCCTGGAGGCAACAATATTGAAATCAGTTGCTAATACTGTGAGCTTCAGATTCCTAGAAGCTAGTCAGGTGATCATCACCTTTATGGATCAGTTGGCTTTAAAGAAAGAACAAGACAATGAGGAGTCCATTTTGAAATCACTACTCAGCAAGCTTAGACAGTGGGAAGGAAGGACTAGAGATAGATTTGCTTGGATAGCCATCTTTGGCTTACCAATGGAAGGTTGGAACAGAAACTGCTTTGACACTATTCTACAGAGTTGGGGAATTATTGCTGGTTACGACACAACATGTGTTAGTCAAAGGTCACTATCAGGTATCAGAGTTCTTATTAGAACCATAAAAATGGAACCTTTGCATGATGAGGTGAGTCTCAAGCTTGACGGAATACAAGTTGAGGTCCTTTTGAATGAAATAAAGGGTGAGTTCATCCCTTCCCTCACAACAATCAAACACTCTATGGACGTATCTCTTTACACAGAATCTGTGCTATCTGATGATGAAGAAGAGCAAACGAAAACTATCTCTGCAGCATCAATCCCTAGGGCTTCAGGACAAAATACTGAGTTTGAATTCATTTGTACGTTGGGCAATCAAGATCAGAACGACATCACATTTCTCAACACTAGCATATCACCGTTGTACCTGCATCCAGAAATTACAGAATTATGCAGCCATTCAACTTAACCTGAAGAGCTGGTGTACGAAGACGGTAACAATTTGGCTTTGGTAATATAAGATAATGCTGGGGTGGCTACAGCTGATCCTAGAGAGGGAGATGTGCAACAAGTCGTGTGTATGCTTGAAAGTGATGGGCTGGATCAGGAGAAGGGTTACAATAATGGAGATGTGAAGGAGATGGGCCGGGTAAAAAAGCAGAAGCCCTTCAGAATGGACCAATATAAGGGTAATAGTAGTAGCTCAAGCATTGGGCTGTCTTTCGTAAATTTTGTTATCCCCATTGCAGACCAAACTGAACTCGTTGATCTAGAATTGCAAAATAGAAGATCTCAAAGGAATAAAGCAAAGAAGCTGTCACGTAGAGCACCGACTGTCAAGAAAAGAAAACCACGAAAAATGGGAAATCAAAGTTCCAAGAAAACTGAGTTAGGCATAATTGATTACTCTGTCTCTCATAATGGACTCATGAATAGAAATATCATTATTCGATCTGGGAAGGAAATAGCTGGCGAAGATGAGGTAACCAGCTCGCACTCTCATATCTCTCTAACCCCAGGGAAGAAGCAACTGCTTGCTGGGATGTGGGAAAAGCGGTATTGAAAGTCCATGATGATAGCCATCTCATGACACAAACACTGTAAAGCTTTATAGAAAAAGAACAGGAGGAGTGGATGAGAAGGAAGGAGCAGTAAGGATGCTGTTTCTGTCTCAATGAAGGTATGTTTATTAATCCTTGGTATGGGTAGTATTATTATTTGGAATGCGTGTGGTATAGGAGCCAGAGTTAAAAAAAGATGTGTGAGGAATCTTGTGTAAAAATTCAGTCTGGATGTTCTAGGTATTTTGGAAACGAAATTGGAAAATATTAATGACTGTATTATTAATTGGAGTTGGGGTAGAGTTTCTAGGGATTGGTATGAAGTACCTTCCTTAGGTCTTTCTGGGGTATCCTATGCATATGGAACCCAACTTCTTTTTGTGTTTCCAATTGCTCTGTTGCTATGAATGGATGGTCGTATTCTTCATGTTGAAGGTGTGTTTTCTCGTTTCAATATGGAATGTTTGGTGTCTTTTGTATATGCCCCAAATGATGGCTCTCTGAAGAAGGAACTGTGGGAATACCTTGCTAATTTCAAAAGCAGCGTTAGCAAGCCATGGTGTCTTGCAGGTGACTTCAATGAAACTCTTTCACCATCAGACAGAAAAGAAGGCTCTAGAATATCTTCTGCCATGATAAGTTTTAAGAATTGTATTGATTGTTGTGATCTTGTTGAACTTCCTTTAAAAGGGAAAAAATTTACGTGGTCTAGGGCAAATGTTGCAAGTCGTATTGATAGACTATTTGTGTCGGGTGATTAGCTTCAGTCTCTCCCATCTTCTACTCTGTATGGGTTGTCGAAGAACTTCTCTGATCATAGACCTCTGCATATGCTAATAGATTCTACAAACTGGGCCCGAAGCCCTTCCGGCTTATGAACTGCTGGTGGCTCATATCTGGCTTTAGAAAGATGATTCAGGATTATTGGAATTCAACCTTGACAATCGATGTTGGCCCCAGCATCACGGTTACTAAAAGACAGATGCAAGGAATGGAGCAAAGATGTTGTGGGCAACACTTGCAGGAAAATCAAAGATCTAGAAATGGAAGCAGAATCTCTAGACTCTCAAAAAGAAAACAGAGACTTATCAGCTGTAGAATTAATCAGAAGCAACGCCATTTCCTCTAGCCTTAGAACCTTGTACAGAATGCAAGAATCTGCTTGGCACCAAAAGTCGTGAATCCAATGGTGTCAGCTTGGAGACAGAAACACTCGTTTCTTTCATCTATCAGCCACAACAAGACATAAAAGGAATCAGATTTTCTCCTTGGATGTTGATGGAACAACTCTAACTAAACCGTTTGATGTGAAGATAGCTGTATTTGATTTTTTTAGTAAGTTATACTCTCAGCATGACAGACCTAGAGCCTCCTGCTGTAATCTGGACTTCCTAAAGCTTCAGCCCACATCATTCACTGTTTTAGAAACTTCGTTCTCTACTGAGGAGATAAAATCTGCAGTTTGGGATTATGAAGGAAACAAAGCTCCAGGATGGTATTAATTTCTTCTTTATCAAGAAAGCATGGAACATTACAGGGGGGATATTGTTCGAATGGTGGATGACTTTTATCGGACAAACCTCCTTCCTCCAGACATCAACAAATCCTTTGTTACTCTTATCCCGAAGATTCAAGGTGCCAATAAGTTGAAAGATTTTAAGCCTATCAGTCTGGTAGGAAGCCTTTACAAGATCATTTCAAAGATTCTGGCAACCAGAGTGAAGCAAGTTATGTCAGAATTCATCAGTGATCATCAAACTGCCTTCATAAAAGGAAGACAAATCCCAGACAACATTTTGATAGCTAATGAGGCGATTCACTTCTTAAAGAAAAGAAAGGGCAAAGGATATCTATTCAAACTAGACTTTCACAAAGCTTTTGATTCTGTTTTATAGAAATACATTAATGAAGTAATGGCTGCTATGGGTTTTGGGAGCAGGTGGCGAGGTTGGATCATGCAATGCATTACAACAGCTAAGATGTTCGTGCTTGTCAATGGATCTCCAACAGCAGAATTTAACTTGAAAAAAGGTCTTCGACAAGGAGACCCCCTCTCTCCTTTTCTTTTCAATATTGCAGTTCAGGGATTGAGTTGTATGTTGCAGAGAGGCTGTGATTTGGGTTTGATCGAGGGTATTAAGATTGGCCAGAATGGATTTATTTTATCTCACCTCCAATTTGCAGATGACACTCTTATTTTCAGCTTAAATTCCTTATTCAGCATGCAAAATATCAAGCACATCCTCTTGTGCTTTGAATTAATGTCAGGATAAAAAGTTAACTTTTGCAACATCTTTGGTGTGGGTATAGATGATCATATATGTAATTACACTGCACAAATTCTCCGATGTAAGCAGGAGCACCTTCCATTCAAATATCTTGGCCTTCCTATTGGTGCAAGCTCTTGTATAACTTCGATGTGGAAGCCTATTCTCTATAATATCAGTGTTAGGTTGGCTTCGTGGAAAGGTAGGCTATTATCTATTGGGGGTAGATTGTGCTTAATCAAATCTGTCTTAGGTATTTTGCCCATTTACTTTCTATCGTTGTTTCTCATGCCTGCGACAATTGCAGCATCCATTGAAAAGAAATTCAGATCCTTCTTATGGTCCGGAAAAGAGGGAGGTAAGAACATATGCAATGTTAGATGGTTAATTATTTCTCTGCCAAAAAAGGATGGTGGTCTTGGGATCGGATCTCTAAGGGACAAAAACAAAGCCTTGATGTTCAAATGGTTATGGAGATTTGGTTTAGAGGAGTCGAGCATGTGGAAGGTTGTGATTAACAGCATATACAACACTAAAAACTCCTCAATTATTTTGAAATATCCTATTATAGGAACTGAAAGTACTTGGTCTCGTATTGTTAATCATTGTGTTACAGATACCAATCTGCAAGACATTGTGGAACAACAATCTCAGTGGAACAACACTCGTAGTATGTTGGTAAGAAGAGGTATATTGGACATCTCAGATGTTGTTTGTCCCATTTGCTTAGTTGAGGAAGAATCGATTGATCATATCCTTCTGCATTGTCACAAACATTGGATAGTTTGGTCTTAAATTATCAATTGGTGGGGCTTAGCGTGGTGTTGCCCAAAGAACTTGGCAACCCTTTTCTCTCAGTGGGATTCTTTGGTTTTTGGAAAATTTCAGAAAAAAGCTTGGTTGATGCTGTTCTTTTCAGTGGCATGGTCTCTTTGGCTTTATCATAATGATGTGATATTTAAGCAGACGACCTTGAATTATGATACTTTATTTATCCTTATTATTACTCGTTTCTATTTTTGGATAAAGGCTATAGAAACTGATTTCTCTTATTCCGCTTCAGATTTAATAAGGTTAGTAGAAGGGTTATTATGATGGACTAATTCTAAAAATCAAAGGGCAGTTATTGTGTGGTCTCCTCCTATAATTAATAGCTTCAAATGGAATGTGGATGGCTCCTCTCTCGGGAAGCTGGGGCCCTCAGGTATAGGCGGAGTCTTGCAAAATCATAATGGGATCATTCTTAGCATTTTCTCCTTGTTAGTTGGGATTTTAGACTCCAATGTAGCCGAGCTAAAAGTGGTTGTCAAAGCTATTGAATTATCAGCTTCTAATTACTACTTACATCATAAACATATTATTATTGAATCTGACTCGGCCAATGTCATTAGTTGGATGAATAATCCCCATAATAGGCCATGGCTGCATCGCAATCTTTTCTCCTCTATTTAGAGAGTAGTTTCATGTTTTGGTTCACTCACATTCACTCATTCTCTTCGTGAGGGTAATCATATGGCAGATCACATGGGTAAATAGGGAGTGTTTAGAAACTCTGAATTTGTTGCTTGGCTTTAATTTGCTTGATATGTGGGTCTTCTATTTTCTTGAATTTCTAGGCACGGCTGCTGGGGAAAATGGATTGTTTCCCAGGTTGGTTCAGTTTCTTGTAGATTTTAATGAAGAGTTGTAGGATTCTGTTTTGGTTTGTGCTAATGTCCATAATCTGTAGATTGCTTTGGTTCTACAAAGGAGTTGATTTTTCAAGATATCCAGAGGCAATTCTAGCTCTTAGCTGCTATTTTGATTTTGACTTTTATTTACTTCTATTAGCTACTAGTTGTTTCTTTTTGGTTTCCTGGTTTGTTGTTATTTTCAGTTCATAGATCTGCTAAACTTGAGTTGTAAGCAGTTTCCTATGTTTTATGTCTTCTCCGCCTAATTTTGGCGTCTTTTAATGCAATATTATGCTTCTAAAAAAAAACTTAGAGAGATCAGTGAATAGAATGAAATAGGTACTTTCAAAGCTGCACCCATACCGCTAAAAATATAGTTTTCAATTGAGTTCATCGTAAATTATCTAGTTGATTTTATGGACCCTACTAGATTATAGAGAATATCAGACCCGCTGCATACAAGTTACAGTTACTGAAAGGGGCGCGCATTCACCCAGTGTTTCACGTGTCACTGCTTGAACGATATAGGGACAGCAAGGGCATTGCTGAGGCGAAACCAGCCGAGTTACCACCATTCACTAACGAAGGGGTAGTCATTTTAGAGCCTCAAACTATTTTTTACTACCATTGTATCAAGCAAGAAACCCAGCTTGTTGAAGAGAGCTTAGTGCAATGGAAACTCCTTCCAAATAAGGAGGCAATATAGGAACCAACACAGAAGCTACGGGAGATTTTTCCAAATATAGACCTTATGAAAAGAGATCCACTCGATGGGGGAGGTATTATTAAGCCACAACATTCTAAAAGGGTAGTAAGCCAAACCCAAATATTTAGGATGAGTTGGACCATTGCATGCAACATACAACGTGAACAATGGATGGGGTACATGAAGAATAATGCAGAAATGGATTGGGTCTTGATAGTTGAGAGTTCTACATGCAGAAGTGGAATGGGTAAGCAGTAGTGAAGAGTTTGCATGTTTATTTTCGTTAGTTATGCTATGTTTTAACATGTATTTGAATTATAGTTGTTAGCTACTAGTTTTCCTTATATTTCAGCATTTTATGCATGTTTATATGATTAGTATTTAAAAATATATTTTTATCAAGGTTTTATATTATTATTTTGTACTTGAAATATTAATAACTCTTTAACTAAAATATGTTTTATAATAACATATCTAATAATATAAGATACCTTTAATTTATGATAAATGTTCATTTTAAATACAAGTCTATCACATAATAAAAGAATTGATTGATAAGTTTAAGAACTAAAATTGAAAGGATAAAAAGATGGTCAAGCTTAGAAAATAGATAATGGTGTAGTCCAAACCGGAACACTGTTCGGTAATTGGATCATATTTGGAGTTGTAGATCTCAGAATTAAGTCTACTTTATATGGATGGAAAGGCAACTATGCCTACAACTTTCATATGAAGCTTACGATTTAATAAGGTTATTTTCAAGTTCAAATTGTAACAACAATGAAAAAATTTGAATTTTTCATCTAGCCTGAACATTGTTCAGTGTTTGGTCCATATTTGAAGTTTTAGAAGTCTAAATGACCTTTATTTTTATTTCCTGGAAAGTTGAGATAATTCTCTACAACTTTCATATAAGGAGTTCTAGAAGTCCAAATGGTCCATAATC